TTAATCAAACACTCCAAAAGTAAGAGTTTAAGTGAAAAAAATAATATTTTCCATAGAAAATAAATTCAATCTGTTTCGCGCAGGTTGTCGCTAACAATTAAAAAAGGTTCAGACGATTGATTAAGGAACACACATCTTGAGACAAAGTCCCAAAAATTGGTATTTTATTGACGATGATTTACAGTTGGAAATAAACATAATGCCTCCAAGGGGCGCAAACACACGAGTACTAAAAGAAGTGTTTAAACTTAAACCAATAAATTGAAATTACATATTCTCTGTTTAGAGTGTTTGATTCGGGGTTCTTGATAATTTTTTCGTGACAAACCGTTTGGAAATTGCTTGATTGCTCTATAAATACCCACTTTCTTCATGATGGCTGACTTGTCATGGACCTATCGTCTCTAACCGTTGCCATTACTTTCTTCATTCAACCGTCTGCAATTGGGATCCTTAAATGGTGGAGTGTGATAAGATTGCTCAATAACTACTTTAATAACTGATATTCAGGATAACCATAATATCTTATATTTGCTAAGATCCTGGGCGATTCGAAGGTTTGGACGAGAAAGGGGTTATCGCTCTGGGAGATCATAAGGCACTCCATTCGCTCACATTCTGAATGTCTTGCAAGTTTGAGCGATAATGTACTTTGTTCGTGGGCCTCTAATGCATTCATCAATGGTCTTATTTGAGCTTTTATCCTGGACTTCCCAATTGGACTTCATCCCTTGGGCTATTCAATTTGGGCTACACTTTTTGCGTGTCAACAATTACCCCCCAATATGGTAGAATTAATACTAATAATTAATTTTTGCTATATTCTTCATTTGTATTTTTCGGTAATATTTGAAATTCCCAAAAATTTCGATCATTATTTCCGTTTAGCTATAACATATCTTAAAATCTAAAAAGATGTAATCGTTACACGCCCCTATAAACCCAAAAGACACGCCATTTCATCACACCACTATACCAAGTCTCTATTTTCGCGTTTCTTTCTCACTATTTACTGTTCATCTTCTTGTTTCTGTACTACGTTTCTTAAGCAAATCTCCCCAAAATTGTACTTTATATCCAATGACGACTTCACAAATTCATGTCGATTATTCTTTCAGCTTCAAGGATTTCCAAAAACTCCTTAACAAACCCTATATAAATTCAAACTTCCTTGCACAAGCCAATGCTGACCGTAACGAATTCTATCTAGGCCCATCATTCAATAGTGCTGAAGCTGTAGGACAAGCGTTGATGGGTCAACTGTTCCCTTGCATTCAAGGCCTTCCATTTCTGAACTCTTTGCTATTGAGGCTGATTCGCGAAAAAGGTATTCGCACTTAACCCAAAATCGATGTTATTTTTCATAGGTGGCATGCACCTTTGGTAAATCATGGCCCTACAAAGGCGATTTCTGATCGTGCTAGGATTTTAGATTTATTAGAAATCGCTCTTCAACCCCGAATTTACGACCCAGTGTTTTTTCCTATTGCTTTGAGTTTTTAGTCTTTTGAGTACAATACCTTTATTTTCCAGCTTGGTCCAATGTCCATTACTTTAAGGGACGTTGGAGTCCTAGTAAATCTTCCACCTTTGGACGATACCATCTTTTCTGGTATCTTAATTGCTGGTGTTGCCCTTAAATTTGATAAAATCTTCCATCTTTCAATTACTAATGTATAGTTTAGCAAACGCAACTTCATTTTTCTACTACCTTCGTTATTATGTTCTTTGAGGAACCTTTTAATCTCTATTCTCCAATCTATAGCATCTCTATCTTGTATACAATGAATTTCGATCTTTCTTACCCTTCTTTGGACTACGGGCAGTATCACTCTATATTCTTAAGCAGATTCCAAATTTAAAGCCTTTGAATACCCTGAGGCCATTTGAGCCAATTCATTCGCTATGTCATTATATATCCTATT